TTATTATTTTGTCAATGATATTTTGAATTCCAAAGAAATCCAAAAAAAGAAAAATCTGTGAACTATTTCCATGAAAATAACACAGGAATTAAAAGAGATAGGGTTATTGAGAAAGAATAAAATTGTGTTATAATAGAAAATTAATCATTGAAAGGAAATTATTATTTTGTCAATGATATTTTGAATTCCAAAGAAATCCAAAAAAAGAAAAATCTGTGAACCATTTCCATGAAAATAACATAGGAATTAAAAGAGATAAGGTTATTGAGAAAAAATAAAATTATGTTATAATAGAGAATTAATTGTTAAAAGAAAATTATTATTTTGTCAATGATATTTTGAATTCTAAAGAAATCCAAAAAAAGAAAAATCTGTGAACCATTTCCATGAAAATAACATAGGAATTAAAAGAGATAAGGTTATTGAGAAAAAATAAAATTATGTTATAATAGAGAATTAATTGTTAAAAGAAAATTATTATTTTGTCAATGATATTTTGAATTCTAAAGAAATCCAAAAAAAGAAAAATCTGTGAACCATTTCCATGAAAATAACATAGGAATTAAAAGAGATAAGGTTATTGAGAAAGAATAAAATTATGTTATAATAAAGAATTAATCGTTGAAAGAAAATTATTATTTTGTCAATGATCTTTTAAATTCCAAAAAAATCCAAAAAAAAAAAAAAGAAAAATCTATGAACCATTTCCATGAAAATAACACAAGAATTGGAAGACATGGCGCGAAGACTATTGGCAAACGATCGCATATTTGCGTTAAAGCAAAAACTCGAGAAGATTCTCGAGTGTTAATGCCATCGAGGTCCTCGTTGATTAAAGGATCGTGCTTGAGAATGCATCGATGTGCCACCCGCCCCATCCATGAAACATTCATGAACTTGAACATAAAATTGTATTGCGCCTCACGATCGCTGTTAAGCATGTTATGCAAACGATTTCAACAAACTGTAGTTGCCACCAAGAATTTTAACCCTCCTCAAACTTACCCCCAATCGAGAACTCTCCCTGAACTCTTCCCTCTTTAAATCCAACCTGTTTCAGAATTCTCATAATCCTCAGGAAAAATAAATTTTTTCAAAAATACTCAACCTTCTTTTCACTGACTTTAAATACACCTTGAAAATAGATAATCCAGATAATAAGAAAGAAACAAAATGGAATATATCATTGATAATAAATATTTCAAAACCCTCTTTAGACTAATTTTATCTACTCGACTTGAATCTACTCAACTGACCAGGATATATCTCATCCATCCAGAGCTTAAAGATATTTAAAGTATCTTATCTAAAATGACGTCAAATGATCGAATGAAATTGACGTTTAAGATAGAAATTTATCCTGAACTTATAAACCTTGAAAAAAAATTTTATTTCACGCACAAATATATAAACGACGTAAACTCATCGTCGTATCTACTCTTTAAAGAACAAATGGAATCGGGTAAACTGGTATGAAGCAGAGCGATGGTATCTGTCATGTTAATAACGCGGCCCAATGTTCAACCTCGAAATCGAATTCAATGTGCAACCACGCTTCGTACGCTCTGAATAAACACGCACAGCCTACGCACTAGCAGCGCTAAGGTAAATATTTCCATTGCGTTCTAGCTTCTCTCTGGCTTAAGCTTTTGAGCGTAAAGGAGGGAGGAGGGGAGGGGGGGCTGAAAATTCCTGGCCATTAGCCAAAAAATCTATAACGATCTCTGCGAACGTTTCGCTCAGGACGAAAGGAGGATGCTTTTCTAATTTCAATTTCGAGATTAATTGAATTAGAATTGAATTAGAATTAATTGATCTATTTGCTCCTTTTGTTCGATTTTATTAACCCTTTGCACTCCTTTTTCGCTCCTGCACGAATCTCTTAGCTGACTTGAAATGAACTTAAACTTTTGTATTTTAATATTTTGTGCACGTTTAAAGAAAGAAAGAAAATTTGTCGAATGTTAAAGTTTGTATTTCGAATATTTTAATGATAAAGTAATTGTCAAGATGCATCCTCGTCGCGATAAAATTTTTCACTTTTCTTATTCTATTCAGAGGATTCAAGAATAGGATTCCAATAAATAAGTGCTCTTGCATTCATCATTTATTATTCTTATTTTTTCTTGTATCTCTATTTTCATTCCTATTTTCCTTCTCTCTATCGATTTCTCAATGAATAATTTCGTTATTCAGTAACGAAAAATCAA